CATTATAAAATTAAATGAAAATAATATAAAGTGTAGCCATCTTAAAAATAAATGATAATCCCCAAATTCGAACATGTAGTGAGCAGGTAATAAGAAAAAAAAATCTGGCTATCATCTTGATCCATAAACTTAATCATGTAAAAATGTTATAGTCTTTTGTTCCCCACATAGAGGTCATCTTCCATTCATTATATTTTCTCTGTATCTCCAGTCCCCAACAATATGCCAGGTATAAAACAGGGTCCCCATTATATATAATATTCCTGAAAATACACAGAAAATACTATTTGCTTATGATTACATCCCAATGGAGTTAAAAAATAAATCTATGGCCAATGCCACTGATGTTGAACAAATCATTTACCTTCTGTAAGATTTAGTTTTTTCTTTAAAATGAGAATGGCTTAGTTAGATCCTTTCCAGCTTTAATATTCTCCAATTAGTGTTTGTAACAGCAGATATGAGCTCATTTAGCTTTTATGGACCAGAATTAACCAAGCATAGTAAGAAAAAGACTCCTCAAGTAATTTAAAAGACAACAGAAGAGGCAAAAGCACCACACACACACACACACACACACATACACACACACACACACAACAAAAAAACAATACAGGATAACACAGACTCAAATATTAACTGGTAAAGTAAGGGCTACTGGTAGAAATCACAGAATGACATTTTTTTGGTGAGGGGAACCAGAAGAGCTTGGGAATAGTTCTTCTGTACAAAGTAAGAGCTGAGCTGCTTTTGTGAAAAGGTGGGATTTTAATGAATAGAGAGAGAATGGTGACAGGTATTAAATATAGAATATATCATGTTGTCTGTCTTCAACTCTTATTGAGCCCAATGAACAAATTATCATATGTACAAATTTGGATTACAGAATGATCAGGGAAAATAAGAGTTAAAAACAGTTATTTCTTGAAGAGAAAATTCCACTTCATTTCTATATATAAGTGTCTAATTATCAATTCCACAAAATACCTTCATAAATTATGATAGCTCACTCATATACCATTAGACTTCCTAGATCTAAAGACAAAAATTGTTACAAATAATAAGCTGATATGTTCCAAGAACTATTTCTGGAGCTCTGAGGGTGAAGATAAGGCTTATAAGTTTCAAAAACATAAGCTTCAAATATAGAAACATTGTGATTCAGCTAAATGTAAAGGAGAAAGAAATCAAGACTAATGTAACTAGAACACTTTCCTAGATACAAATGGAGAGGCGCTATGAGAAATGCAAACATGAAGATCTGTACAGAAAGGTCTGATCCATTTAACACTCAAGTGGTGTTTATTATCATTGCATGGACATTTTTACATTTGATTTCATTTTCTAAGGCAGATATCAACTGAGTTTAGGGAATGTTGGGTAAAAGATGGATGCACCATAAATAAAGCTCACTAAAAAGAAAAAGAGAGGACAATTGTTAAATCAAGTAATTTATTAGTATTAAATTCAGGGCTATGCCTTTCAAAGACTCAACTTACATAGATTTCTCAATTTTATCCAAAGTTGTGGGGTCAAATGCAGAAAATAACAAGTCATAAGAGATGATTTATGAATGTAGGTTGCTGATTAAGATCACTGTGAAAACTTCAGAAATGGGCAAAGGACTTCCCAAAGCATGTCTGAAGAAAGGGAGCCAACCTGTACAATGCAGGGTAAGCTGTAATCTTAGACATACTAACACTGACTTTGGGAGGACTATATAACAAGAAGGGTTCTAGGTAATTTACAAATTTAATTTTAAAATGATAGTTGGAAAGTGAAATTCATCAGTGTATCAGTGATACTCAAGTATGCCCCCACTGGCCAATGACTGATAGGGAAGAGATATAGATTTCAAATTTTGTGGGTATTTTGCAAAATCATTAGGGATTACTGTAGTTAAAACCAAGAAAAAATAGTAATTATATATATATTTTCTTTATACATTTTTGAATATGTAGTCATTTTTATAGATCTTTAACATATACTTTCCCTATGATTTTTTCCATTTTGACATTAGCTTTTTATACAGTTTCCTAAATTTCTAGCTATGACCATGTACATATTAATACTATATTTCTTCCCAATCCAAATCCCTTATAATGACCCACAGGGTCTCACAATTGGATACCTGACTTTCTTAACCCCATCTCCTACTACGCTCCCTTTGAGATAGGATAAATTCACTTTCTATGAAATTCCCTCCAGTTTCTGCTGGTCCCCAAGTCTTTTCCACCTCTTTCCCACCCCCCAGGGCCAGCTTCATGGGCATGTAACCTGTGCAGTTGCACAGGGTCCCGTGCTCAGAGAGCTCTGAACTTGGCCCAATGCTCTGCTTTTGCCATCTTGAATATCGCAATAATTTTTTAACAGGGGGCACCACATTTTCATTTTGCTTTGGTCACTTCAAAGTAGATACCAGTGCCACCTACTACACTCCCCTTGTGGAATATGCTCTCTCCTGTGCCCCAATCACACCAACCTCTTCTTCACCTCCATACTCCCTTGTGTGCTGTCTCTTCCCTCTACCTGTTCTATACACATGAAGTAAAGTAATTCTTTTCCTTCAATCTCAACTCAAATGTTAACATATTAGGAAGATATTAACTTACTTTTTTAATTTGAAGTGCCTCCTGTAACCTTTTATCGCATTATCCATTTATTTCTTTAAAGGCGATTTGCTGACCTACTTATTACAATCTGTAATGATCTCATTTGTTTCCTCATTCCTTATCAAAGATCCCCTTCTCCTAAATGGAAAGTAGCAGGAGAGTCCTAATCTTGTCTATTTTGATAGTACACTGCTGAATTGTCAGGGCTGAGAACAGTGTCTGACACATGGTGAGTACTCAATATTTTTTGTTGCATGAATAAATATGTTAATCACAATAATAAATGGTACTTCACACATTTTCATGGGGGAATTTTTTCCTAGTTGAAGTTATTGTGCACTTTTATCTGTTATAATTCTGCAACACTGTCCAAAAAGTAACTCAATTCCCTAACCAAAGAAAATGTATAGCTCTATGAATAAATTTTGTTCACTATTTGGAAGGAGGTTAAAAAATAGCTATTGACAGAAAATGAAGATCACTTCAGAAAGCATAGCTTTATATAAAAGGAACAATATGAATTAATATCTAGTGCTAGTGAAGCCCTAGTAAAATCAGTACATTAACAAAATGTAATAATAATAATATGGCATAAACCTCTTTTGGAAAAATGACATGAAGTATTTTGGCTATGAAAACACGCACAGTCACTTACTTCTAGTACTTTATTATATGGAAGTGTAATTTATATGTAATATGGAAAAAGCGATCTTTACAATCATATCTATGAGTGCTGTTTATAATATCAGAAAATTGAAAATAAGCTAAATATCCAAATTTAAGGTAATGGTTAGATAATTTAGAGTAATTCACTCAATTAAATAATCTTTAAAAAGGAAAAGTTATACTATGTGACAACAGAGAGGAAAACGTATTACACATGTTCACTAAAAACAGCAGAATCAAACTTATATAAATATAAAAGTAAACAAAATCTTAAAATCAGAGACATGGAAAAATATTGGAAGGTAGCTTGAACAGGAGCTAGATTTATGAATTTTTTTTACTCTCACTTTCTACATTACTTTTAATGTAAATATGTAATTATTAAAACATATTTTAAAGATGTCTACAAGAAACATGACTTCCTATCACATAGTATCATTTTCAATGTAGGTCAGTGTGAGCTCTGAATAGAGTCTGCTGCCAAGAAAGTTGTTTAAAATCACAGACAGAAATAAAATTTAATTAACACTTTTTATGAAAAGTGTATAATGATTCTGTTAATAAACATAATATAGATATATTTATTTAAAAGAAAACAAAACAAGAAAGTATAATTAAATCATCTTAAAAGTGACTTTTGTCCCAAAGTTATTTAAACTGAATAATTTCAGATGCTAGTTAATTAAAAGGCAATATACTGAAACAAACAAACACTGGTTCAGTACTCACAGGTATACAATATTCCACCATTGGATAATGTAATTTATGACCCTTTGCTGTTCGACCCGAAAAAAAGCAACTCTGGCAGACATCATAGTTAAAATGCTTTAGACTTCTATACCTAGAGAGAGGAGAAGAAAATAAAATTATAAAATTCATTGGCATGCCTATATTTAGTCCAAATCAATCATTTGTGGAAGGAATTTCATTCATCCAAATCACTACAAAAGTATATTGGCCACAAACATGGAATTTGCTTAGTGACACTGGACATCGCTCTTCATTTGCAGAATCTTATTTTGAGGAGTGAAACTCTAAATTTTAAGTTTCAGAATGGAAAATATCTCCCAGATCCTCCATCTGCCAGAATGGCAGGTAGTAACTAAGAACATAAATATATTCATATTTACAGAAAAAAATAATAAAGGACTAAGAATGAAAATGGAAACAAAATGTAAAGGGTATGTGAGATTAATACTGTAAACCAGTAAGTGCTGAGTAGCTTCTAAAATGACCTGCAAAAAGCACTTGCAAATCGATCTCAAGAAAATAAATCAGCACATACTACTACATCCAGCTTATTGAGGCAGGGAAGCAACCTGGTCTGAAACAGTCACCTACACCAATATTCCTTGACCTATGCATGTCTTGACAAATATGACTGACATCTTGTCTTCTAAATGGAGTTTGTTTATTCCTGAACATTCCATGGCAGGCCATTCTCCCTTCATTAGTACCAGACCCTTGTACTATTAGTGGGTGGTGTGCCCTGTGAAAATATGTTTTCCAGTCTCTCTTGCTGATGGTGGTGACCAATGCGATACAAGTCAAAGTCAGTTGGGAAGAAGCATGGCCCCGCTTCCTCCTTCCTGGAAAATGAACCCGACATCAAGAAGAGAAATTCTGACAGGGGGAGATAAATGGTGATGGAAGGAGACAATTTGGGATGGTAAACACATAATACAATACACAGATGATGTATTGTAGAACTGTATACCTGAAACCTATGTAATTTTAGTAACCAATGTCACCAAAAAATTCAATAAAAAAGTGAAAAAAAAAGAATAAGAACAGCAGCTATTCTGTTAGCATGGGGTGACCTTAAAAATGGAAGCCATGTGTTAAGGATGACAGAGAATAAAGCCAGAACTATGAAAAGGGGATGCCGGTCAAATGGTACAAACTTCCAGTTATATGAGGAATAATTTCCAGGAATCTACTGTGTAACATAATGATTATAGTTAATAATACTATATTGTATACTTGAAAGTTGCTAAGAGAGAAAATTTTAAGTATTCTTACCACAAAAACGAAGTGGTAATTATGTGACATGATGCAGGCGTTTCCTAACAATATGGAGGTAATCATTTTGCAGCAAGTATATCAAATCAACATATTATACACTTTAAATTCACATAATATTATATGTCAATTTTATCTCAAAACTGGGGATGTGGGGGTTGGGGCAGTGGGAGAACAGTGGACCCAAATGACAGGGAAGTCACCACTCAGTCCTGGATTTCTATCTTAGGACTTTTTTTTTTTTACATGAAAATAAACTAAACTTCTAACTTGTTTATGCTTCTATCACACACACACACACACACACACACAAAGTGGTGGCAGAGTCAACCTGGAAAAAGTTAACATTATTCTACAAGGCCAAAGACTCTAGCAGGATTTGTAAAAGTTCAGGGAAAATAAATGAAAAGAACACACACACACACACACAGTGGTAGCAGAGTCAACCTGGAAAAAGTTAACATAATTCTACAAGGCTCATAGTCTTTTATTTTTAGTTCTGGAGTTGGCTTTCCATTCTTCCTTGTAGCTCAGAGAAAGAGACAATCCTTTACCTAAGAGCTAAAGGACCCACTCTGTCTCAGCCCTGTTTTATTATTGGAGTTGTTCTTACATTATTCTTTCCATGGATAATCTCTGTGCAATCATTAAGTTGATTAGTTTGAAGGAACCTTTGCGTAGTCTCATGTCTAAACCAGATATCGACTCTAGATCTGTTTCTCCTCTGTTCAGAAATAAAACATTTTAAATGGACTACATTCTCAAAATAGAACATTGGGAAAATATATATGCAAGTAAAAGGAAGATGATAACACTGACATATTTACTTCAAGTTAGAGCTGGACTCCTTGAGCAAGTTGTTTGCACATACTAACCCCCTTATTTTTCTGAGCCTGAGACGTGCCTTCCAACCTTATCATGACCTGGAAAGAGTTCTTTTTAAAATTACCAGTGACCTCCCAAATCAAAGGTCTGTTCTTACATCTGATGTTTAAAATCTCTCTGTTGCACCTAACATCTCTAACATCTTTCTAAAGCCCTCTTTCTGATTTCTACAACACTATGATTCTTCACTTCTCTTGAGAACTCTGATCATCTTTCTTATATTGCCTTCTGCTGAGCCTCATCATTGTTCAGGCTTTTGAATACAATTTCCATTAGTGAAAATCAAATTCTGCCTTTCAATGCAAAAGGGAATTTATACAAATATGAAACCTGATAATAGTTTGTGAAATAAAGATTTGAAAGATCTAGTGAATGTTGACTTTATTAGAAGCCCACAGTGGGTGATAGTTATTGGGGAAACTATTAGGAAACAATCAACTGAAGATAAAAGAAAATATTACAAACAACTAAGTATATGCCAACAATTAGAAAATCTGGACAAAATAGATAAATTTCTAGAAACATTCAATCTTCCAAAACTGAATCCAGAAGAATCAGACAATCTGAATAAAGAAATTACAACTAATGAAATTGAAGCAGTAATCCTATATAATAATATAATAAAAGCTTAACATGCTAAGTGTCTGGTCAGCCATTCAACCAATCAAAGCGTAATATGCTAATGATATGCTAAGGCTGCTCAACCATTCATTATGACGTGCACTGACCACCAGGGGAGAGATGCTCCAACCAGTAGGTGAGCTTGCTGCTGCAGTCTGGCTGATCAGGACTGAGTGAGACGGGTCCAACACATCCTGGAGCCTCCCACGGTCCCTCCCTGGCTGGTCAACCTCCCAAGTCCCTCCCTCGACCTGGCCTGTGCCCTCTTGCAATCCAGGACTCCTCAGGGATGTCGGAGAGCTGGTTTCGGCTGGTTCAGGCCAAGGGACCCCATTGGTGTACAAATTCGTGCACTGGGCCTCTAGTAACATAATAAATATCCATGTACCCACATCTCAGCTGTGTTGAATCATAATGTTATGCTACAATTGTTTCAGTTTTTTTTCTACTTAGGAAATAAAACATTAAAAGTACAATCAAATGCTAATAACTTTTAGAGTCTTTTGTCCTCTCCTTCACTCTGAGAAATCCCATCACTCCACATCGCCCTGGGCTATAGCATGGCTGTATGTAGCAGGCTTTACATAAGCCAGTCTCTCCAGGTCAGTTTATCTGGATGGTTCTGTGATTTCACATTACTTTTTTATATAGCATACCACTTTTGGTCTAATAATCAATGTCCTAAATCTATTCAGTTCAGTATCATCTAATTGTTTCTTAATGTCAAATCTCACCTCTTCTAAAAATCTAGCCTGCTTTTTAAAAAATACCGTATTGACTAAGAGCATGAACTGCAGAGTCAAAAAGATTATATTTGAATCCAGTTTTGTCTTCACTTATTGGATATCTGGCCTTGGGCAAGTTGCCTAATCTCTGAGTCTTAGTTCATTCATGTGTAATGTAGAGATAATCCTGCCAATCTTCAGGGATTTTATGGAGAGTAAATGAAATAACAAATGCAGTGTTTGAGCACAGAGCCTGACATACAGCAAGCACTGGAAGAATAGCAGTGATTATTAGTGCTGATGGTTATATCTTATTTGGACTATCTTCTCACTCATAGTTTGCTACATTCCAGCTATTCCTTTCGTCTCTGTCTGCCTGTCTACCAGGTGCTTTAAACTTAGCCTCCAAGAAACCTGCTGCATATCAATGGACCTTTTCCATCTTCCTCACCCAGGGTTTGCCCTCTGACTTCCACTGGCTGCCAGGCTCATGCTGATTCTGCCTCCCACTGACTACCTGCCTTTCCACCCTCCTAGACGGTATAGCCTCGCTGACACCAGGCACTCAGAACCTTCACACTCTGGACTGGCTTCCCAGCATAATACGCCTGGAGGACAGGATATTTACACTCAGTTTCTCAGTTTGCCATTCTCAGAAAATGCAACAATACTCTTCATACAAACTATGCTGGTAAAGTCAGCCAAATGACAGCGATTTGTTTAGTCCAGCACTGACACTGATACTATATACAACAAAACCAATCCTAGCCATGCTGATTGACCCACCACGAGCGAAATCACCATCTTAGTTAGTTCCTTTTTCGGAATGAGTGAAAGGCACATACAGAACCCTGAGTTCCACTGCTGAGTAGTCTTGTATTTTTCATAATTGACTTCCAAATCCAACTGGGATTACTTTCTATATTCCTTGCATAAGAGAAACATATATATTCTAATGCATGCTTATCTTAATACAAGGAGGTGAAAGGACTATGACAGTCAAGACACTTCATCTTGGGGCCAACCTTTAACCCCATACTCTCTGCTTTGTGGCCACAAATTGATGAATCTGACACTGATTACACTAACGTGC